CCCCCCACCCCGCTGTTGCAGACCCGTGACCCTGCATGGTGCTAAATGGGGTTTTGGGGACGGGCGGTGAGGGACTGTGGTGATGGATATGGTTTAGGGGAGGGCTCAGTGATGGTGCTGGTCGTTGTTTATCCCCCAAATCCGGAAATGTTCCACTGGGAAGGAAAGGGAGGGGAGAGCCAGGGCTGTTCCCAGCACTGGAGTGGGAGGGATGCTCCCGGTTGTGCCCAGAGAGAGCTCCGAGACATCCCCATATGTGTGGTCCCCGTGGTCCTTGACCCCCAGCCTCATCCCTTCCTTCCCCCTCCAGCTCCTTGGTGGCTCCGCAGTGACCAGCGAGGATCAGGGACCTGCTGGTGGCCTGGGAGAGGACAGGACCGGACAGTGACAGGTCAGTGCTGTGGCTCTTGGGTTAGGGTTTGGGTACTGCTGCTTAGCACCCTTGGGTGTCATTGCCCTGTCCTGCCAGCCTTTGTGTGGTCGGAGCACGGAGGGGACGTGCATAAGGAAACAGGTCCTTTGCCCTAGAAATGTGGCTTTTCCTGTGGATTTCCTGGCTGATGTAAGACAAGGCATGAGAAAAATGTCATCTTTGAGCCTACGGCGCTACTGGAAAGAGATTGTCCCCATCTAAGAAGGGACCTTGCTTTGAAATTGGGTTTGGTCCTTTGCTGGGTCTCCTTGGGCCCATCAAGGTGTCAGCTGTTGGGTAGGATGGGGAGTGCAGGTGGAGGTGAAGAGATGCTGGTGGTCTCGCATGGCAGGAAGAAGGTGCAGGGCTCCGGGGAGCAGCCAGAGCTGACAGACAGACCTCGCCTGCCTCGGTACCACCGCCCCAGCACGGGGCTGCCGGGCGGCTCAGGGCCGCGTCCAGCACTCGTCCTAACTGCGCCAGCACCCAGCGAGGAGCTGGTGGCACCACCATGTCCCAGGCAGAAGGTACGGCTCAGCCCTCGATCTGTCCCGGGGGAGGCGCAGGTTTTGCACGGGGACCTCAGTAGCGGTGTGACCCGCCCAAATCGGCACCGATCTCCACCCCATCCTGTTTAATGGCCCCATTTTACTTGGATTTTTGATCTTAAAAGCACCTTTTGCCCGAAACCCTGATTTACAGGGTGCTGGGCTGCTCCAGGAGCTCCTGTGACAGCAGCCCCTGTCCCCATGTCCCCCCTCAGGTCCCATCCACACCCATGGGGAGGGCGGTCAAACCTGGATGGAGCTGAGCCGGGGCACAGAAATAAGCCCTAGGGGGGAAATGCAGGCAGCTCAGCCCCAAAGCATGAGGGCTTCCTGCATGGACTACACTGTTCCATCCCTCCCAGGAGGCCAGGAGATCTTTGAATACTGCGATGTGGTCATCAACAGCCAGGAGAAGGTTTTGGACGTGTACACACAACTGGAGAAACTGGGAGAGTAAGTGGGGGTCCCATGTTTGCGCCGCTCAGGGATGCTCCGCGGCTGTCCATGCCCAGCTATGGGTGGGATGCAGAGCAGTGGTGATGACTCCTCCATCCCTCATCCTCGCTCTGTCCCAGGGGAAAATTTGGGACAGTGTATCGGCTGCAGGAAAAAGCCACTGGCAAAATCCGGGCTGGGAAATACTTCCGGACGCGGACAGTTAAAGAGAAGCAGGCGGCTCAGGCTGAGGTGGAACTCATGAACCTTCTGCATCACCCACGCCTTGTGCAGTGCCTCGCCGCCTTCCAGGGCCCCACTGAGCTGGTGATGGTGATGGAGTAGTGAGTAGGGGAGCAGAGTCAAGTTTTGGGGTGGTGGAGACAGTGCTGGAGCCTGTGAGGAAGAGCACTGAAGGTGGGGAGGGGTCCCTGCACCGTGGGGTGCTGGCAGGGGGTGTAGGATGGATGGGGAACCTACTAGACTCTGGAGATACGGGGGGTGAGGTGCTCCCAGAGGGATGAGTCTGAGTTCCCTGGTCTCCTCTGGGCTGGAAGACCATAACAGGGTCCCCAGCACCTTGTCCTCCCCCATCATGTCATGTGGGGAGGGGTCCTGCACCATGGGGTGCTGGCATGGGGCATAGGATGGATGGGGAACCTGCAGACCCCAGAGATATGGGTGGTGAGATGCTCCCAGAGGGCTAAGTCTGGGTTCGCTGGTGGGACTTCTCCTCCTCGGGGCTGGTAGACCCCAGCTAAGTCCCCAGCACGTTGTCCTCCCCCAGCGTGGCAGGCGGGGAGCTCTTTGAGCGCATCGTTGACGACGACTTCGAGCACACGGAGCCCAGCAGTGCTCAGTACGTGCGGCAGATCCTGGAGGGGCTGCGGTTCATGCACGGCCAGGCCATCGTCCACCTTGACCTCAAACCCGAGAACATCGTCTGCGTCAGCCCCAGCAGCCACTGGCTCAAGATCATTGACTTTGGTTTGGCGCGGAAGCTGGGTGAGCAAGACCGGGGGTCCTGGGGGGCTCAGGCAGGGGCTGTCACCATCACAGGGACCTGATCTGTCTGGGCACATCAGCAAGGAGCTTGGTATCCTCTTGCCTGTGTCACCAAATCAAGGCCCTTCCTGGGGACCATAAGATTCCCTGGGGAAACCTGCATGTCCCTAGCCCTGCCTCTGAGGTGGAGACCCCCAAGACCCCTGTGCCTGTGGGTGCCTGGCACCCAGAGATGCTCTAGGACAGCACAAGACCTGTGACGGGTCCTGGAGGGCAGCAGCTCCACCCGGACGCAGGGGCTCATCCACCCGGCATGGGTTTGGTGTGCAGCTGGGCTGCGCCGGGGAGATGCCAGCTGGACATCTGCCCTATGCATCTTCTCTGCAGCTCCAGACACCCCTGTGAAGGTGTTGCACGGCACCCCTGAGTTCATGGCTCCAGAAGTGGTCGCCTTTGAGCCCGTGGGCTTCTCCACGGACATGTGGAGCGTTGGTGTCATCTGCTACATCCTGTGAGTGGCCTCCTGGGGACAGCAGGAGGGGCTGGAGGGGGCTGAGCTGTCACTGATGTCCTTGCGTCACCTCTCCAGGCTGAGCGGGGAGTCCCCCTTCCAGGGGGACAATGACATGGAGACGCTGAGCAACATCACAGCTGCCCAGTGGGACTTTCCGGAGGAGACCTTCTCGGAGATCTCCCAGCACGCCAAGGACTTCATCAGCCAACTGCTGCAGAAGGACCCCCGGTAGGAACTGGGGGTGGTTGTGGGGTGCTGATCTGGGCTGGGTTTTTGGGTGCCAAGGGGATGGGCAGGGGAAAGCACTGGATGCGGTCAGCAGAAGGGATGCTCCATGGGGCCATGCCCACAGCTGAGGGTCTGGTAGTGGAGAAGCCCCCCGCGTGACCACCCCATCTGCCCCCCAGCCGCCGACTTTCCAGCGTGGGGGCTCTGCTGCACCCCTGGCTGCAGCAGCCCCAGCCCAGCAGCACCAAGGCGCTGTCAAAGGAGAGGATCAAGCAGTTCCTGACTCGTCGGAAGTGGCAGGTACCTGGGGGCGTGATGAGGACGTGGCGATGGGAATGGCTCTGGTGAGGCTCAGTGCTACTTGTCTTCTCTCCAGAAAACAGGCAAGGCTCTGCTGGCCCTCAACAGGTTGACCCTGCTGTCCCAGGGCCCGGAGAGGAAAGCGTCAGAGGCTCAGGATGAGGAAGGTGATGACCCCTGAAGCATCATCCCCCATGCACCCGACCAACCCACTTCTCTCTGCTTTGTCACCCCCAACTCCTGCTCCTGGGCAGCTTCCCCTGCCTTTGCTCCAACCTGCCCCGGTGCCACCAAACACCTGGGCATGACCCCGCTGTGGCATTTCTGCTCCGGGCCAGCTTCAGTGCCTCAAAGTTCTCTCCATCCTCATCCCCAGGAGACCATCTCTGATGCAGTCTTAGAACAGGCGTATCCAGCTCTGCAGGGCTGGGATCTGTCTGTGATCCAGATTTCTGGGGTCCAGAGCTGATGCTTGTGGGACCTGGCCCATGGATGCCACGCGTGTTCCTGCAGCAGAGGAGGGAGGCTGAACTCAGCCAGCTCCTCACTGTTCTCTCTGTCCATCTGTCTGCAGACCCGGACTGCAGCCCAGAGGAGGACCAAGCCTCTGGGTCTCTGCCCCGACGAAGTCCCGGCTTCTCAGAGCTGCTCATGGAGGAAGAGGAAGGTGGGAGTGCTGCGCCCGCAGGGGAGGCAGAGAACGTGGCCGTGCCACCTCAGCCCTGGACCACCTAGAGAAGACAAGGGAGGAACAGGGAGTGATGGGGATAAAACCTCCTCCAGCAGCTCACACGATGCCCCAACCAGCCTGGGGTAGACCCAGACCCCAGGGCTCTTCTCCTGTGGGTGAGCTCTGGGGTCCCACACGGTCCCTGTGCTGGTGTGGGGACAGCCATGCCTGCTGTCCCCAGCAAGGAACCAGTGCTCCTGCCTGCATGGCCACCTGGGCTTGAGTGGTCACCAATAAAACACCGAGGATTTCTGCACTCCCTGTGCTGCTCCTTTTTACTCCAAAAAAATCACTGGGGTGGGTGGGAAAGAGCTGCCCAAGCTGTGCCCACCTTTTGGGAGCTGGCACCAGGCTCTCCCTCCTACCTGGGTCACCACTCTTGTCTTCTCCAGGAGAGATGCTGGTCCTGGGGACAGGGACTGGGTGGGACGGCTCTAGCAGCAGCCTTTGGTGTCCCTTGTTCAGAAAAGTCTTCCCTCATCATCAAGGTGGGGTTGGCATCATGTCCTTGAGCCCACCAGGCAGGAGGAGCCAGGATGAGTCCTGGGGATTCTGATCTTTCCATTTCTGGGCCAACTCTGGTACCAGCAGGGCTGGAAGGAGCCCAGAAACTGCTGTGTGACCTTCAACCTCCTCCTGAGGAGGAAACTTGGGCAGAAATTGAGGTTTGGGAGCCCCTCTGCTTCAACAAGAAGTGCATGGCCCTGCCTCTGGGGAAGAACAACCCCACACTCTTCAGTCAAGAGAAGAGAGGGCTCGGGGGTGATCTCGTCGCTGTATATAGATACCTGAAAGGAGGGTGCAGAGAGGATGGAGCCAGGCTCTTCTCAATGGCACCTAGAGGCCATGGACCTAACCAAAACACAGGAGGTTCCATCCGAACCTCAGGAAACACTTTTTTTACTGGTGATGGAGCTCTGGCACAGGTTGCCCAGGGAGGTTGTGTGATCTCCATCCTTGGAGATACTAAAAAACTGTCTAGGCACGGTCCTGAGCAACCTGCTGTAGGTGGCCCTACTGGAGCAGGGGGATGGACTGGATGACCTCCAGAAGTTCCTTCCAACCTCAACCATCCTGTGATGCCGTGAAAACCCACCTCCTGTGGAAGCTGGGCTGGGGGCTGCTCTCCTCCAGCACATGCCAATGTGGGAGGACTTGTGAAGGTGCCCTGGTTGGAGTGGTCCAGCCCTGTGCCCGCTGCCACAGTGCAGCCGTGCCAAATAATGCACAGCTTCAACCCTTCCTCCTCTTCTTCCTCCACTCCTGCTGGCTGAGATCACCAGGGAATAAGAGGAAAGTGTTATTTTTGTTAAACAGAACCAAATTCACTCACTCTCAAAACCGTGGTGGGGACACACGTGAGAGCTCTGGCTGGGAGCACTCATGGGACACAAATGAAAGGGACACCAACCATCAGAGCTGCTACTGGACCGGTGACAAACCCACTTTCAGAGAGTTTGCTGAAGCCTCTAGGAAGCTGATGGCCACCACGGCAGGAGGTTTCTGTATCAGGATTTGGCATCCTGCTGCTTCCAGGGATGGTAGACCAACCAGAGTGCCTGTGGTCCCTTGGTTGGGGGGCTTCATGACTCTTCATCTGCTCTTCTCTTGGGCTAGCGGGGAGGGATGTTGTCGCCTTCCTGTCCTGTTTTGGTGGCATCGACTCTCCAGCTGACAAGGCTTTATCAGCACGCAGGCCTGACTTGAATTTTTGTGGCAAAAGCCTGTTCCTGTTAATGGCATCCACGGTTGATGGCTGCTTCTTGGTACATCCGACCACGGGAAGCAGGAGACCGCTGCAGTGTGGCAGAGTTGTAACATGCTCTGCCCACAACTTGGTGACCTCTTCCCTTGTTGGGAACAGTAGATGTAACTGAAGAAGGAACTTAATTTGGAAGTTGCTGCGTGGAATGGGGAGCCCTTTTGGGGACCCCCCTCAACACTGGTGAGACCACCGCGATGTTTTCATTGCTTGGCGTGTTGTAGGTCATTCGCTGAGGTGAGCAGCTCCGGCGTGGTGCACAGGGGGTTTCCTGAACCAGGGGAACATCAGCAGCTGGTAGGGCCAGGAGCAACGGCGGGCAAGACCCCCTACACATATAAAAGAAACCCTTGGGGAACGCCAGCAACCACGAGTGCCGCAAACAGGATGGGCCAACGGCATGGCGCTGAGGGTGCCCTGCATCCCACTGTCCATGTCACCCACAAAGATGTTAAACTGCGCTGGTCCCAGTACCGACCCCTGAGGAACGCCACTCATCACTGGTCTCCACTTGGACATTGAGCCGTTGACTGCAACTCTTCGAGTGCGACCATCAGTCAATTCCTTATCCACCGACTGGTCCATCCATCAAACCCGTGTCTCTCCAATTTAGAGACAAGGGTGTCGTGTGGAACAGCGTCAAATGCTTTGCACAAGTCCAAGTAGATGAGGTCAGTTGCTGTAAAAGACAATAAAGAAGTGTTTCTATAAATACGTTAGCAACAAAAGGAGGGCTAAGGAGAATCTCCATCCTTTATTGGATGTGGGGGGAGACACAGTGACAAAGGCTGAGGAAAAGGCTGGGGTACTTAATGTCTTCTTTGCTTCAGTCTTTATTAGTAAGACCAGTTGTTACCCAGGTACTCAGCCTGGAAGGGCTGGAAGACAGGGATGGGGAGCGGAATGAAGCCCCCATAATCCAAGGGGAAATGTTTGGCAGCCTGCTACACCACTTAGACACACACAAGTCTATGGGGCTGGGTGGGATTCACCCAAGAGAGCTAAGGGAGGTGGCAGAAGTGCTCACCGAGCCACTCTCCATCATTTACCAGCAGCCTGGCTAACTGGGGAGGTCCCAGTTGACTGGAGGTTACCAAATGTGATGCCCATCTACAAGCAGGGCTGGAAGGAGGATCCGGGGAACTACAGGCCTGTCAGCCTGACCTCGGTGCCGGGGAAGGGGATGGAACATGTCTTGAGTGCCATCACACAGCACGTACAGGACAACCAGGTGATCAGGCCCAGTCAGCATGGGTTTATGAAAGACAGGTCCTGCTTGACTGGCCTGATCTTCTATGACAAGCTGACCTGCGTAGTGGATGAGGGAAAGGCTGTGGATGTTGTCTACCTGCACTTTAGTAAAGCCTTTGACACTGTTTCCCACAGCATTCTCCTGGAGAAATTGACTGCTCGTAGCTTGGATGGATGTGCTCTTCGCTGGGTAAAGAACTGGCTGGGT